GGATTGGCCAAGTGGCAGCATCTATGGACTCAAGTGTGGCAACAGTATTGAGGCTGACCCAGGGTTAGTCAGTGTTTTGTTCTGCTGTGCATAAGGTCGCTATGGGTCGGTACAGACTCAATGGCACCTAACAACAACAACCAAGCACAGGTCCCTCTGGTGGTTATTGCAAGCCGGGGTGGCCCTGAGCCATCCAGCATCCCCACAGGGGAACAAAGGAAAAGGAAACTGGGCAGAATAGAGAGACAGACACCTTGTTATTGAAACCACCACCTCCTGCCCTGCCTGGCCGGCCTCCCTGCTCGCGTGCTGTTAGCATGCTTCATGTATCCATCCACATGTACAGTGTGCTGTTGTGTACATACACAACACATGGGCACAAGTGCTGCCCTGACCCTTGGGAGTTGAGGATAGTCCTCTGCATTGCCCTGGCCTGCGCAGTGTCCACTTGTCCCATGTTGCACTAATCTTTATTAGATCCGTGCGTGCCTGGAGTCTGTTTCCCAATCGCAGTCAAGTGACTCAGATCCAATAAGCAGACCTTTTTTTTTTGAGCACTTCCTCTGTGCCAAGCCCCACCCCTGCTCTGGGGACACCTGTGTCCTCATCCCTTCCCTCAGAGGAACTCAGAGCCCCGTGGGTGATACAGATACATAAACAGATCCTCACAACGCCAGCACTAGTGCTAGAATAGAGAGATGCCAGGAGAGAGGGAACCATTCTGTGCCCTCAGGGGCTGTAATCCAAGGCAGAGAAGGGACATTTCTCTAGAGGCCTAGTCCAGCGTGCTGGGAGCACACAGGGGAAGGCACTACTTTTGACTTGGAGATCCAGAAAACTTTCATGGAAGAGGGGGCATTAGACACAGACTTGGGGACAGGTAGGAATTTGTCCAGTCCAGAAGCAGGGAGGGGCACCCTAGCAGAAGCAACCACTTGAGAAAAAGCAGGCAATGTGCAAGGTGCTTGCCCCCTGCCTAAAGAGACCAGCATATGCCTGTCCGCTGAACTGTGGTTGTGAAGTACCATTGAGTCTGTTCTGACTCAGGGAGATCTGTATAGACTTTCCAAGGAGCGGCTGGTAGACTTGAACCACCAACCTCTTGGTTAGCAGTCCAGTGCTTACTCTACATTGTCACACTCCATTTCATTAGTCTAAAATAAAAAGCAACTATCACATCCTGATCAAAAGGGGGGAAATGCTGAAAAATATTGAAATTCTCATAGCCTCCAGAAAGTCTGGAGTCATGAAGGCTGAATAAACCTCTGATACTATTTACCTGCTATGCATAGAGTTTTCAGTGACTAGCGATTTGTGGTGTTGGAGGAGAATACTGAAAGTGCATGGACTGCCAAAAGAACCAATAGATCTGTTTTGGAAGAAGTGC